AGTTCAAGCCTCAGGACTGCTCCCCGCACCACCAAAAAAAAAAGCCTTAGAAGGAGACACTAATCAAAATGCTCTGTACTTATTACCTAACTTAGGGAATTGTAACCTCTTGTACAATAACTAAACAATAAAATTTTTTTAAATGTTAAGTTTATAGCAACAGATCCAAGTTTTCCAAAATTCTACTTTTCACGTAAGCGCCAACATTTATACCTGGGAATATGTAACGTCAGCCATCTTCCTAGAAGTGACAGGCTCCATTCACTCTTGATTTTTTTTTTTTTTGTCGTGGGGCTTGAACTCTGGGCTTGGGCGCTGTCCTTGTGCTCTTCAGCTCAAGGCGAGCTTGTGGCTTGAGCCACAGCACTACTTCCAGTTTTGGGGGGGGCGGAGGGGGGCTATTGGAGATAAGAGTCTCACGAACTTTCCTGCCCAGGCTGGCTTTGAACCACGATCCTCAAATCTCAGCCTCCTGAGTAGCTAGGATTACAGGTGTGAGGCACCGGCGCCCGGCTTCCATTCACTCTTGAGAAAATGTCTGCCAAACACCTATGCATAAAAACATCTTCTTATTTTCCTGGGGGACAGGGGAAGCTAATTCAACTTGGAATACTAGCAGTGTGCCAGTAAAGACAAATGACTGAATATGCTTGAAGTCACTATCTTAAGTCATGTTAAGTTTGACCCATCACTGCGTTTCACCATTCCTAAGTCAGCAGAGTAAGTAGGTAAATAATGAAACAGTATGGTTAATTATGAAAACTGCTTTAACCTTGCAAACCACGAAGAGACACAACCCTACAACCAGTACATGAAACTAAGAATCACTGTTCAGCGAGGCAGGGCAGTGCCCTGGTCTATAATACCAAATACTCAGGAGCCTGAATCAGGAGGACCACTTGTTAAGACCAGGAGTCCAAGGCCAGCAGGAATTACTGCTTTGAAGTATTCTCTCTTAGGACAGATGAAGAAATAAAAGGCAGCTGGGCACTGGCAGCTAACCTCTGTAACCCTAGCTATTAAGGAGGCTGAGATCTGGTGATGGCGGTTCAAAACCAGCCTGGGCAGGAATGTACATGAGATTCTTCAATAAACCACCAGAAAAAGCTGGAAGTGGCACTGTGGCTCCAAGTGGTAGAGCACTAGCCTTGAGCTGAAGAGCTGAGGGACAGCGCCCAGGCCCAGAGTTTAAGTCCCACCAACACCACCACCAACAAAAAACAACCCTGAATATCCCTAACTAGAACTCTTTATGCACCGGCACTACACATTATCAAGAGGATTAGTTTATAAACTTTTACAAGTTTTAGGTAGATTCAGAATTCAAATGACTTTTACAAAAGTAGATGTAGAAAGCCTAGGAAAATACAATTTACCTTCCTGCTGCTTTTGTTAACTGTGAGATACAAGTACTCATGAGAGCAATGGGGAGCTAGAAGATGACTGAACTAGCTCAATTGATTGGGGCTTCATGCTTTGCAATGCACTGAGGCAGGTATACTAATCAAAATTTATAGATGCTGAGTATGATGCTTCAACAATAAATGGTAAAGCTCAGAAACTAATTTAGGTGACCTGATTCCTAAATTCTGTGTTTAAAGAATCCCGATGTTTAAAGTTAAGGTATTTCAGCTTTTTTTGATGGCCGTGATAGGAAGTGAACCCAGGACCTCAAACATGTTGGGCAAGTGATCTACCACTAAGTTCCATACCAATCCCTTTGAAACATCTTTAGTGACTGATTGCAGCTGTGAGACTCTATTATCATTCAAAACCACAACCTTGCTTGGTGTTGATGTTTCACACCTGTAATCCTAGCTACTCAGGAGGCTGACATCTGAGGAGCACAGTCGGAAGCAGCCCAGTCAGTAAAGTCCAATAGACCACTAAAAACCCTTAAGCGGAGTTGTGGCTCAAATGGTAGAGCGCTAATCTTGGGCATAAAGCTCAGGGACAGTGCCCACCCACTCAGGACCAGTACATGCACATATACAAACAAAATTACCCTCAAGGTTAGCCAGTCTTGATGGTACACACCTATAATCACAGCACTCAGAATAATGAAGTAGGAGAATCACAAGTTCAAGCCTACTCTGGACTGGTGAGATCCTACTGGGAAGTGGAAGGGGTAGGGAGACTTCAAACTTGGAGCTGGGAATATAGCTCTGTGGTAGAGACCTTGCCTACCCTTACTTTGCACATGTGAGAGTAAGCACCGGGAAGGGAAAAAAAAAAAAACCCTCAAATTTATTAAGTTAAATGGAATGTTAAAGTAGAGCCTAAAAAGTACCTCACACAGATAAGCCACAAAAAAGAGGTCACAACTGCTCAACAGTGTACGTACTCCTGGGGCAAAACCTTCCCAGGCCTCTAGCCGATGTCCCAGGAGAAGCTCAGGAGATCTATGAGGAAGACAAACACCAAGTACTCTTCAACTCTGCACTCTCCTCCCCCTCCCACTATTTCAGAATGTTCACACGAGGTGAAGAATTCAGAAGAACCATTTTTCAGTGGTTTAGTTTTAGGTTTAAGACTGTGTCTTGCTATGTAGCCCACACTGGCCACAAACTCACAATCCTGCCTCAACCTCTTGACTACAGGAATTACAGGAATAAGGCCACCAAACCCTGCCTTAGAACCATTTTTACGTTAATTCTTCTATCACCCCTCAGGAACTATAAAAATATTAAACCTAGGGCTGGGAAGGTGGGCTCAGTGGTAGAGTGCTTGCCTTGTATGCATGAAGCCCTCGGTTCGATTCCTCAGTACCACACATCAGCTGAAAAAGCTGGAAGTGGTGCGATGGCTCAAGTGGTAGAGTGAACATACAATTTTACAGGAAAGAACTCAACCACTTTATACTGTAGAGGACCTAAACAGGACATAGCTTCCTAACAGCAAGGCCCAATGCAAGCTACTCCTAATCCAGTCCCTCACCTCACTGCAGTCTCAGATGTGCCCTACAAGTCTCATCTTCAAGAGCTCATTTGAAAGTTTGCTCAGATTAGCACCAAAATTTTGGTGTGTCCCTGAGCTTTTGTACTCAAGGCTAGAGCTCTACCACTTGGACCAAAAGCTCCAAATCTGGCTTTTTGGTAGTTAACTGGAGATCAGAGTCTCAGCCAAGCTGGACCCTTGTAAGCTCACACCTGTAGACCCCAGCTACTCAGGAGGCTGAGTTTTCCTGAGGACAGCAGATGGAAGCCAGCTTGGGTAAGAAAGTTCGTGAGTGAGACTCATCTCCAATTAACCACCAAAAAACCAGAAGTGGAGCTGTAGCTCAGTCTCAGCCAGACTGCCTGGTTGAAAACCATGATCCTTGGATCTTAGCCTCCTGAGTCGCCAGAATTACAGGCATGAGCCACCAACGCTCATCTTAAAATTTGTATTTTTATTGTTATCTGCACAACCACTATTAAAAAGCCCTTCTGACTCAACGTGAAGAGGAACAACATAAAAAGTTCTTTAAAAAGCTTACATTTGAGATTCAGCAAATAAGAGCAAGTTTATTCTGATTTTTCAAACACTCCAATAAAAAATTAGACTTATTGGGGCTGGGAAGGTGGCTCAGTGGTAGAGCGCTTGCCTTGCATGCCTGAGGCCCTGGGTTCGATTCCTCAGCACCACATAAGCAAAAAGAAAAAAGCCGGAAGTGGCGCTGTGGCTCAAGTGGTAGAGCGCTAGCCTTGAGCTGAAGAGCTGAGGGACAGCGCCCAGGCCCAGAGTTCAAGCCCCATGACCGGACCCAAAAAAAGCAAAAAAAAAAAAAATTAGACTTATTTCTGAAAGTATGTACAAATTCCTCAAACTGTAGGGTATCACTAGCAACAGAAGCTCACATAAGGTACTCAATAAAAGTGCAAAAGGTAAGAGCTGGGGGAAGAGAGGGCCTGTGTGGTTCAGAGCCTGCCTAGCATGTGCAAGGCCCGAGTTCAATTCCCAGCACTGGAGGGTGGAAAAAAAAAGTACAGACAGTCAACCCAAACAAACTGAACCAAAGTCTGAATAAATCGCTCTATCAGCATTTTTATAAGCTCTCTAGATGATTCTTTCTCACTCAAAAGCCATTTGTTCTGCAAAATCTTAATAAAAGAGATGAGCAGGTAAACAAAAATAAGCATCTTGGATTCTAACTGTGCTAGAAGAAAAAATATGTCAGAAAGTGACCTGGAGAACTTCTTTAAAGTGACTACTCAAGTCTTTCTTCGTAGACACTTGGAGCAAGGAACCCTTCATTTAAAAATAATGGTTCTCAAACTTCAGTGCACACATGAGAATCACCAGAGACCCTATAAAGGACGATGGGTACTCAGGTCTACTGCGTGGGCCATGGCTCTGCCTTCCTAGGGACAGAGAAGAGACCGGCGACACGAGTCTAAGGTTCTGCACTCTGCATACAGAGAATGGAAAGAGCGGTGAAGATTGAAACGACAAGAGCCAAACAAGCTGGCTGGGAGCAGGGCAGGACCTGGGGTGGCACCTGAGAAGGCGACTGCAGGCCATGCGGGAACCCCGGAACCCCAGGCTGGGAACGACAGGCTGTGCGCTAAAGCCTCCATGGAAGCCAGCGGCTCTTACTTACGTGACGCTGACCAGAAGACTGGGCTCGGAGCGCGGGGGGCCTTCAGGACGGGGTCCCTCCGTTCCCCCCCCCCCGCGGCTCCCCTTCAGGACGGGGTCCCTCCGTCCCCTCGGCTCCCGCGGCGCTGCCCTCTGCGCCCCACACGTCCCCTGCCAGGCTGGGGCGAGCGAGGTCCCCAGCCCGGCCCCGACGCGGCGGACGCGAGCCCGAGCCCCACGCTCCCGGGCCTGGGCTCCGCAAGGATCCCTTGGCCTGCCTCCGTGTGTGCCTTCTACTGCCCGCAGCCGGCCACGGCTCCGTCCGCGCCCGCGCCCCCTCCCCCAGCCTGCCGGGGCCCCGCGGGCGCACCTGGCTGGACGTCGCCGTCGCTGCCCCCGCCCCGGGCCCCCGCCCCACCGGGCCGGCCCCGCAGACCCACCTTGCTGGACGTCGCCGTTGCTGCCCCCCGGGATGGGCACGCTGAGCTGGCGCTCGGGCTCGGGCAGGCAGCGCAGGCAGAACGAGTGCAGGCAGGGCAGCAGCTTGGGCTCCGCCTCGCGCCGGCTCTGCAGGCTCTGCTGGCACACGGCGCAGGTGTCCAAGAGCGAGGCCGGCGGCCCCGCCGCGGGGCCCGGGCCCGCCGCCGACGCGGAGGCCGCCGAGGCCGGCGCCGACGCGGAGCTCCCGGGAGCCGCGGGGCCCGAGGCCGCAGGGGCGGCGGCGGCGGCGGTGGCGGCGGCGGCCGGGCCTGAGGAGGCCGCGGCCCCCCCGTCCTCGTCGGGCCCCGCCGCGACGCCCTCCGCGCCGGCCCGGCCGCCTTCCTCCTCCTCCTCCTCCACCAGCACCGCGGCGAGAGGCGGCTCCGCCTCCTGCGCCGCGGGCCCCGCGGCCCCGGCGGCTCCCGGCGCGCCGCCGCCGCCCCCGCCGCCGCTCTCAGCCTCGCCGCCGCCTTTGTTTTCCGCCATGTTTTCCTCTTTGAACCCGCCGGACCGCCCCGCGCCGTCCGCCGCCCGCGCCGCCGCCGCCCGCGCCGTCGCCGCCGCCGCCGCCCCCAGCCTCAGCCTCAGCCGCAGCGAGAGCGGCCCTCCGAGAGCGAGCGAACGAGCGAGCGAGAGGCGAACGCGAGAGCGCGCGCGCACGCAGCGCCCCCGCCCTCGCGTCGCGCGGTGGGGGAAGGCGGCCGCGAGGCGCGCACGCGCGGACGGACGCACGCACGCACACGCGGACGTCACGGGGGCGGAAGCTCGGAGCCCAGGGGCTCGGCGCGCAGGCGCGGACGCGGCTCGGACACACCGTCCCGGAGGCTGGTTGCGGCGGCGCGCTCGCCGCGTCGCGTCGCGTCTGTGCGTCGCGTCGTTGCGCTCGGGGAGCCTCTTAGGCCCGAAGCCGCTGGCGCTGGCGGTCTCTGAGCCGCGAGAAGAAGGGTGGAAGAGTGGCGGGGTGGGGGATCCCCGGCCGGCGGGGACCCCCCCCCCCGGAGTAGCGGTCTGCCCGGGATGGGCTGGGGGAGCCCGGGAGGAAGGACCTCCCGACAGCCATCTTTAGCTTCTGAAGACGCCTCTCGCACCTGGCCACGCACAGAACGCAGCTGCCCAAGGAGCCGTGCGGGGCGGCGAGGACGGGCGTCACCCGGACTAGGCGGGGAGGGCGTGGAGCCGGGGGGCCTCGCGCGGAGCTGGCCGGCAACTCCCCTCAGAGAGCCCGCGCAGACCCGCGAGGCGAGCAAGAGGAAAGCACCCCGGCTCCGGCCTGAAGGGGCAGAGGTAAGGGCCGCGAGGCGGGCCGGGCAGGCCTAGACTTCCTTTCTAAGGCTAAAAATCTCGGGGCTGGGAAGGTGGCTCAGTGGTAGAGCGCTTGCCTCGCATGCCTGAAGCCCTGGGTTCCATTCCTCAGCACCACATAAGCAAAAAGAAAAAAGCCAGAAGTGGCGCTGTGGCTCAAGTGGTAGAACACTAGCCTTGAGCTGAAGAGCTGAGGGACAGTGCCCAGGCCCAGAGTTCAGGCCCTAGGACAATAGATAGGCAATAAATAAACACACCAGTTCTCCTGATTGAAACCCCCAGTGTTGCAGTGGTGGGCCACACCACCACACTTTTTTGTTTTGTTTTGTTTTCTGGCAGGTATGGAGGCCTGCACTCAGGAAGGCCTGCTCTTCCCTGCCTTTCACTCACTGAGTGCTGTACCACTTGAGCCACGTGTTCATTTCTCAGTCTTTTAAGGACGTAGGCATATAAGAAACAAAATTTGAAAAATATGCATATATTTCTGTGTGCGGCCTAGGCTCCTTTAAAAGCCTCTTATCTCCCATCCCCCATCGTTTGTGCCTCTCCAGCCACACTGGCTCCAGGATGGGCTTCTAACAAGCCCAGAATCCCTGCTGCCTTGGCTTTATGCATGTGCTATTTTTTTTTTTCTACCTGGAGCACACAGCTTGGGAAGAGAGGCTTCTTCACCTTAAAAGCAGAAGCGTTGCTCAATCACTCCTAGTCCCTTTCATCCCATACTTCTCTTGGTAATTACCACTCTTCTCTGCTCTCCTCTATTACATTTCTTTTTTGGGGGGTCCAGTTGTGGGGTCTGAACTCTGGGCCTGGGTGCTGTCCCTCAGCTCTTCAGCTGAAGGCTAGCACTCTACCATTTGAGCTACAGCACCACTTGCAGCTTTTTTCTTTTTGCTTATGTGGTGCTGAGGAATCAAACCCAGGGCCTAATGCATGCAAGGCAAGTGCTCTACCACTGAGCCACCTTCCCAGCCCCCTCTATTACATTTTAAACTGGAAGGCAGGCAGCTTTGCTCTCTTCTTACTGTAATGCTAATCTCAATAATCAGATCTCAGTTTCTTGATACTGGGTTCATTTATTTGATGTTTATTTGTTTATACACAGGGTATTGCTATGTAGCCCAGGGTGGCCTCACTCTTGGCTCTCCCTGCCTCAGCTTCCCAGAGCGAAGGCACTGGCAGTAGCTATTACCAAAATTCTTGAGTGCTAAAGTGCCTCAGGGCCCATTTCAGATGGAATAGAGTACCCAGTAATACCTGTCAGGTAAAATCCTCAGAGAGGACCCTTGGCAAGGCTGCGGACCAGTACTAGTTCCTTGTGTGCCCATGAACCAGATCTGAAACCAAGCTGCATCAAGAAGTATATAATTGGTAAGGTAGCAGAAAACACTGGAGAAAGGACAGTCAGTATCCAGACAGAACTGGGACACTAAATTTCTAAAAGGAACAGGGCAGTGGTGGCTCACACCTATAATGGTACCCACTGAGGATTGACATTTGAAACCAGCCAGAGCACAAAAGTCTTTTAAGGCTCTTCTGAGGAAGTGGAACTGTGGCTCAAGTGGTAGAGTGCCAACCTTTAACTGATAAGCCAAGCAACAGTGAGAGGCCCTGAGTTCAAGCCATAATATCAAATAATAAAATGAAACTTGCTCAAAGGAAGCTGTAAGCTTCAAGCATAGCTGCTCCATCCAAGAACCTAATTTCATTTTTATTTGTATTTGTGTATGTTATTTCTTATTCTCTTTTGTCTACTTCTGGCAAGAACCACCCTTCTGGACACACTGTGAACAGACACTGTCACATGGGTAGGTACATGGCTCCAACCTGGTTAGGTTACTGATTAGCTTCTGATTGGCACCTGTGCCTCGCCACCCCAGGGCAAAACACCTGCTGCGAAGCGAGCCATTGGACAAACCAGTTTTGGGGCTGAGCAGGTCCCCACATCTGGCCCCAGACCAACTACTGGGTTTAGCTGCCAAATTCCCAGGTAGCCAGTGTTACCCATTGAGAACACTGCCCAGCCAAGCCCAGCATGTGCTGAAAAAGTTTGGTTCCCAAGAGAGGTTTTGGCTAAGCTGATTAAAAGCCTCACCTGCCTTCAGACCTGTGGGTGGATGAAGTCACCCCTCCCTCAGGGTATCTGAGTCCCTGTCACCAACACAAACTAAGTATGCAGGAAGCTGCTGGCTAGACCAAGTCTCTGGGGTCTGGATCTTTACTCCAAGACTAAATCAAGATGGAGCTAGAGCACAGAATCTGGAGGCAGGAGCTGTTTGTCCTTAACATAGGGAAGGCAACATTAAACTGAAGGCCTAAGTGAGAAAGCTCACCATAGAGAAGCCAAGGCAAACACTGAATCTCCAGATGAGGGCAGAATGGAGGCTTGGAGGGTAGCAGAGTACATTCTAATCCACCAACTGCCATGGGGGGGAGAGGGGTCCCCCTTACCCCCCTCCCCTACCTAAAATCTGGCGCTTCCAGTGGAATCCTAGCAGAATACAGGAGCTTCAAGGAATATTCCCACTGCTGTTCAGGACCTGTCGCACTACCTACCAGCTGGCCACAACCCACAGTGCACCACGCCCAGGCTGGTCCTGCTCAATCCAGGACCTGACAGGATGCACAGATTGGAAAAGTGCATCTACTTTGCTGACAGAGCCAGCCGACATTCACTCTCCTCAAGAAGGAAGAAAAATCTGTTCTACTGCTAGTTTATTCTACCTCTTTTTTATGCTTTGCCTTCAACCCTTAGCAATCCCTGATGATATCAACCTTCTCCATTATCGCACTACATTCCCACATATGGCATTTGGTGTTCCTGCAGCCTTCACATTCCACTTCTCTCCCTAGGTTCCTTATTCCTTCACCTTCCTTATTTTTACTACTTAGTTTTTAATTCTCATACAAACAGGTTTTAGCCCGGTGCCTGCAGTATTGAGGAAGCTGAGATCTGAGGATCTTGGTTCAAAGCCAGCCCAGGTAGGAAAGTCCCTGAGACTCTTATCTCCAGTTAACCTCCACAAAACCAGAAGTGTTGCTGTGGCTTGAAGTGGTAGAGCACTATCCTTAAGATGAGGAGTTCAGGGACAGCACCCAGGCCCTAAATTCGAGTCCCATGGCCAATAAAAATAAAAAATAAGATGCTGGACACCAGTGGCACACTCTGTAATCCTAGCTACTCAGGAGGCTTGATATCTGAGAGGACCATCGTTCAAAGCCAGCCCTAACAAGAAGTCTGAGAGACTCATCTCCAATAAACCACCAGAAAACCAGAAATGGCACTGTGGCTCAAGTGCTAGCCTTGAGCTGAACAGCTGAGGGACACAGTGCTCAGGCCCAGAATTCAAGCCCATGACCAGCAAAAAAAAGTAATGTGGTTGGTTATATAGGTAATATTGTTAGTGAATTTTGCTTTATGTAAATACCTGGTTGGTTGAACAAGAATTTGCCATGTAACTCAGGAGTTACATTTCCACATTGGTTGGTTGAACAAGAATTTGTCATGTAACTCAGGAGTTACATTTCCACATCAGTGGTGAGGAATGGTACATCAACCCAGCCAGCATCCCATCCTGCCAGATCATAAAAAATAACCCAGTAGAAAGACTTCAGAGGACTAAAACCCCAAACCATAGGAGCACAAGGGTTTTAAAAAGGTAATATGACAATTCTTAGCAGTCAAAATGTTAGTGAAGTAGTTAAGCTCAAAGGGGTGATAAGAATCATCAGTGAGATGAAAAAGAACATGAGCAAACACCTTGATGAAATCCAAGAGAATACAAATGAAAAGCTAAATGGAAGTAAATGCAATTAGTCAAAGGATGCCAAAGAGAATACAGATAGAGAACTGAAAGACCTCAAAAGAGATACAGAAAAATAGCTAAATTAAGGCTGGGAAAGTGGCTCAGTGGTATAGCACTTGCCTTGCATGCATGAGGCCCTGGGTTCGATTTCTCAGCACCACATAAGCAAAAAGAAAAAAGCCGAAGTGACGCTGTAGCTCAAATGGTAGAGCGCTAGCCTTGAGCTGAAGAGCTGAGGGACAGCACCCAGGTCCAGAGTTCAGGCCCCACGACCAGACCCCCCCCAAAAAATAGCTAAATGAAATAAAGTATATGTAAGACAGGAAAAAGGAATTCCATGAAGATGCAGAAACTAGGGCAAAAAGAGATGAAGTCTTA